ACCAGGGGGCAGCTCCTGCATTGAGCATCTGCCCCCTGGTGGTCAATGTGTGTCATAGTGACCAGTCATTCCCAGTCGTTCTGCTGTTAGGGTCAATTTGCATATTACCCTTTTTTTATATAGGATTAGGAATACCTCCTGGGTAGGTGGACCAATGTGAACCTAAAAATAAAAAGCCAAAGTGAGAGCAGCAAGCTCTTCTTTGAGATCCCAAAGATTACTGCCGGAACCCAAACTGCCCCGAGTGTGAGGTGAAGGAAGGAGTTTAGGAGACTAGGACAGGAAATAACCACATGAATAGGATAATTCCCGTTGCTGCTGACCAGCTGTTACTCGAGCTCTACATGGATTCTATCTTAGAAAATGATTCTGTAATCAACAGTCCTTGTGGTCAGCATGTCTGCTATCCTGTTAGTTTTGCAAATAGCTGTCTGGCCCAGTCCAAAGGTTATTTTGTCCAGTTCAAACATTCCAAAGGTTCATGGAGCAAGACATGCAAGCAGTTCCTCTGGAATGGCTCCCCTTATGTCAGCTTTTCACCCCAGGAAGGTCTTGAAGGGAAGCCCTGCTGGGGGTAATAAGTGCTTGGCTCCCAGCAGAACCAAGCTGCAGTAGGACTGTGGTCCTCATACTCCGAGCTGGGTCTGGAGCGGGGCACTGGGTGCTGGTCTGGCTGCGTGACCGCTTTCCCATACCCTGTCAGTCCTTAAAGCAGCGCCTCGTGGAGGAGCACTGAAGAGCTTTGGAGAAACAAGTACAACTGTTACCCCCAAACCACAATTATAACTTTATCATAATGAAACACGTGCATTAATGTTTCAAAGTGCCGTCTCGGAGCTCTTGTCAGATTCACTGTTTTCCACCTTATTTTGGGACAAAAGTGTGGTCCACATGTGCCCCCCCTCCCCCTTCAGAACCCACACTGGACTCCTTCAGAAGAACGGAAGTTAAAGGCAACCAGCTCCCCAGCAAACACTCATTACATATTGCCTGGGAACTGCTAAGGCAATTTGTTTTTGTTTTTGGTTAGTTCTTACCCAAGGATGTTTTCCATTGACTTTTAGAGAGAGTGGAAGGGAGGGGGTGAGAGAGAGAAACATCAATCGTTTGCCTACCACATAAGCCCCCACCAGGGCCGGGGGTCAAGCCTGTAACCTGCAGCCGAGGTACGTGCTCTTGACCGGAATTGAACGTGGGACTCTTCATTCCAAGGGCTGAAGCTCTATCCACTGGGCCAAATGGGCTAGGGTGGCAGTTTGTTTTTGAAAGAGGCCACCGGCTTTGGGAGTTAATAATCCTTCCCATGCCTGCCAACTCCAGGTTGCTCACTGCTCTGTGGCAATCACCTCTGTGCTGTGTCACTGGGTCATTCCTAATGATTGTTAAGGGACTGACCTTTTCACATGATCGACGCTTCTAAATCGGACCCACATGGGGTCTTATCTGGGGAAATAGCAAGCTTACTTGCTTGCGTTCTGACATACCTTCTTGAGTGGGTGAAAAACTATTGGGATTTCAGCAGAGAACTGGGTGTGGTTTATGAAATGGATCAGATTACTCATCTACAACCCAGAGTGAAGAGAATATTCCAAGAAACTGTTTTTATTTACTTTTTTCTTTGCCAATGCCTGGAACACCACAGGTACTTCATTCTAGGGAAGAGGTCAGGGACGGGTGCTCCCCACTCTTAGCCTGGGGTGCCACCTCTTCCTTCTCCACCCAAAAGGTCCTCCGACGTCTTTTATCACCAGCTCTAGTGCCACTCCCTCCTGGGAACCTCAGTAGCTGTCAGCACCGGTCCTTTGCCTTGTGTGAGAATTCACTGTTGGTAGCTGTCCCTGGGCCTGCTCCTGTGGACTCTTCGACTCCACACCACCCAAACATTACCCTGAGGGACTCGAGTGGAGTGTGAATAGCTGCAGAGTGTAGTAGACAGAAGCACCACGGAGGAAACAGAGCTTTAGTGAAGCGCTATCTGTGAACCCTCCTAGCAAGGCTGTGAAGTCAGAGTTAAGAAAGAGGGGTAGAAATGAGGGCTATAAAATGTTGAAGATTTCACCTGATACATTTTGGGGAAACCAAGAAAGCAATGTGATACGGTGGAGGCAGGACTTCGGGCTAAGCTCTGAGTGAAATGGGTAAACTCCAATAAACTAGATCCCTAGAGAAGAGAGAACAGCCAAGAACATATTAAAAACTTGGTTGCATGAAGTAATGGAAAATAGGATAGGCATTCCAAGGATGCTATGCTGTTTTCCCATTTGAAAAAGTACGGAAGTACAATCTGGAAAGTAAGTACGGGAAAGTGGGAGTTTGCACAGAGACACCATGGCATAGCCGCTGTGCACACAGAGCCTGCCACCAGGGGCCCACGATGCCAGCTCCTACACAGAGCTCTGTGCCCATGGGCAATCCCCTCACCTCTCCACGCCCAAGTTCCCCACTGCCAAGTGGGAAATGAATAATGGCCTCCTCATAGTATCTTGTAAGACTGCAAGTGTTGCTAGCAATGATGCCTGGTAAAAGTGAACACCAGATGGCGCTGTTATATAAAGTTTCTAAGATTTAGTAGGTAAGTTATTTGGAACAAATAAACTTTAGGGATAACCTGATTAAGTCCTGTGTGATTCCACAGATGGTAAAACGCAGAGTCATTATATGACCTTTATAAGTCACTTCAGCCCTGGACGGCTTGGCTCAGTGGGTGGAGCGTCGGCCTGCGGACTGAAGGGTCCCGTGTTCGATTCTGGCCAAGGGCACATGCCTGGGTTGCGGGCTTAGTCCCCAGTGGGGGGCATGCAGAAGGCAGCCAATCAGTGATTCTCTCGCATCATTGATGTTTCTATCCCTCTCTCCTCCCTTCTTCTCTGATATCAATAAAAAAAATACTTAAAAAAAAAGTCACTTCAAACACATTATCTACCAGTCTCTTCGGGTCATTCTTACATAGCTTTTTATGTACTTAAATCTTGTCTTCCAGTCTGATTCTTGAGTGTAAGAACTATGTCTTAATCTCATATGACCTAACAGTGTTCAGCACACATAGCAGGACTAATAAATAGCTGGGGGGGGGGTTTAATACAAAATTTCAAATGTGTCCCAATAGCAACCTTTTACATATTAGCAATTATTATTATTATTTTTAATGCCACTTACTAAGACCCAGACGGCCCTGGGAGAAAGGTCTAGATACGTAAGTTTTTGAAAAGGGAGAGAAGACCCCAGGAGGCAGGGCCTGGAAGAAGGTGTGTTTCCTGGAAAAGTTTGATGAAAGCAAAAGGGACCACAGGGCTCGTAGCCTGTACTTATCAGCAGCCCCTCTCTGTCCAGCTGCAGCAGCTGATTCCACAATAGGGAGTCCCTCTCGGTGCTGCTCACAGGCAGTTGGAGAAACAGACATGCCAACAGCCTCCCAACAGAACCCAGGCCATGGAGGGAGACCCGAGTGCCTGGCTGCCAGGGGCCTTGGAGGAGCCTTGACCAGGAGCTGGCATGTATTTTTGCTATTAACTAAATGTTCAGGGACTCACCTGAACAGGAAAGAGGCACTAAGCCATTTGTCAGCGATTTTAGACGATGACTAATTTTATGCGGGGGCGGTGGGCTGGGGAGGCTGTGGGGAGGAAGGGAGAATAAGAACCACCAAGTCCGCCCTGACTGGTTTGGCTCAGTGGATAGAGCATCGGCCTGCGGGCTCAAGGGTCCCGGGTTCGATTCCAGTCAAGGGCATGTACCTTGGTTGTGGGCACATCCCCAGTGGGGGGTGTGCAGGAGGCAGCTGATCGATGTTTCTCTCTCATCGATGTTTCTAACTCTCTATCCCTCTCCCTTCCTCTCTGTAAAAAAACAAAAAAAAAAAAAAAAAAAAGAACCACCAAGTCCGAAGGTCCTGATTCTGAGCGATGAGCAGACTTGGCCTATGTGGGCAGAGTGCTGCGTGGAAAGGCAAGACTGTCCTTTGGGATGCATAGAACAGGAGGCTGGAGGGAGACTGGGACGCAGAATGTCCTCCCAGAGACCCCTTCCTCACGGAGAGGTCACCTGTAGAGCCCAGAGTGACTGCAGGAGGAGGAACAGAGTTCTGTGCAACAGCCGGAGAGGGCTGGCCCCCTGGCATTTGCACCCCCAAGATTTGCCTGCCATGGTTCCAGGAGGCTCCCAGGGTCAAGTGGACAGATCAGGAGGAGGGTTTGGGCCACCTTGCGAACCCAATTCCCTGTGCGAGAGGATACCCACCAGATGAGGGGGCTACGGCATGTGCAGCCGGGAATGAAAACTGAGGAGCAGAAGGAGGCCCAGCCAGACGTCCCCCTTCCTCCCAGCAGCAGCCAGTCCTGTCCAGCCTGGACCCACCCATAAGATTCAGGACCTGCAAAGGAAGGGACAGGGCATGCAACCAGTTGGGCTGCCAGGTACAATACAGGACACCCAGTTAAATTTGAACTTCAGAAGCATGGAACAGAGTGTGGAATCTCAGAGGGAAGTATGGGAGGATGGATGGGTGCGAGGTGATCAACCAAAGAACTTATATGCATATATGCAAAACCCATGGACACAGACAATAGGGTGGTGAAGGCCTGAAGGGGGAGAGGGCTGGAGAGGGTCAATGGGGGGCAAAGGGGACATATGTAATACTTTCAACAATACAGATTTTTTAAAAATATATTTTTTATTTATTTCAGAGAGTAAGGAAGAGGGAGAGATAGAAACATCAATGATGAGAATCATTGATCGGCTGCTTCCTGCACACCCCCCACTGGGGATCACAACCTGGGCATGTGCCATTGAGCGGAATCAAACCCGGGACCCTTCAGTCTGCAGGCTAATGCTCTATCCATTGAGCCAAAAAAAATTTGGTGTTGAAAACAGTAATAATGTATTGCAAGAATGGATCTTTTGATTCCTCAGCCATTAAAAGAAGAAATAAAGTATATAACTTCTGAACCAATTTAGGGAAAATAGAATAGTAGGATAATTTTAACAGAATTCTAATAGAATAATCCTAACCCATCTGAAAGAAGGCAAGAAAAGAGATAACAAAACTCGGATCAGATGGGGCACATAGAAAGCAGTGAATAAGATTTAAGATTAAACATATCAGAAATTATGTATTAAAGGCCAAATGATCCTGTTAAAATAAGTTATCATACTGAATTAAAACAACTATATGTTATTTCCAAGAGACACACCTAAACAGAAATACAGAAAGGTTGAAAGTAAAAGGATGGGCCAGATAGTGTGGCTCAGTGGACTGAGCATCATCCCATGGACCAGAGGTCCCGGGTTCAATTCCAGGTCGGGGCACATGCCTGGGTTACAGGCTTGATCTCCAGTAGGGGGCATGCAGGAGGCAGCTGATCCATGTGTCTCTCTCATAGATGTTTCTATTTCTCTCTCCTTCTCCCTCTCTATCTAAAAATCAATAAGAACATATTCTTTAAAAAGTAAAAGGATGGAAAGAGATATGCCATGTAACAATAAAAAATAAGCTGATGTTATTAACACCAGAAAAATAAAAGTTTAAGTAAACAAAAGGCATTACCACAGATAGATGTTTACTTCTTTTTTAAAAAAATATTTTTTTATTGATTTCAAAGAGGAAGGGAGAGGGAGAGAGATATAGAAACATCAATGATGAGAGAGAATCATTGATTGGCTGCCTCTTGTATGCCCTCTACTGGGGATTGAGCCCGAATCCCAGTCATGTGCCCTTGACCAGAATTGAACTGGGATCTTTCAGTCCGCAGGCCGACACTCTATCCACTGAGCCAAACAGGCCAGGGCAGATGTTTACTTCTTAAAGTTTCAATCACCAGGAAGATATAACAATTCTATATTAATATGCACCTAATAACAAGGCCTTTATTATATAAAGCAAAATTCACAGAATTATAGTAGAAATGAATAAGTCAACAATGATCTCATTAATTGATAGAACAAGCAGATAACCATTAAGAGCAGAGAAAATGGGAACAATACATTACAAACGTGGTCTGCTGGCTTCATCTAGGCGACTGAGCCTAGGATCTGCAGAACACTCTTCTCACATGCCCGGGGACCTTCACTGAGAAACACGGGCTGGGCCCCGAGCAAGTCTCAACACATTTCAAAGGACAGAAATCAGATACAATATGTTTTCTGACCACAAAGTAATGAAAATATAACTAGGAAGCCCTGTATGTTTGGAAATTTAAGAAAAACCCACAAACTTCTAAAAATCCTATGGGATGTTATTATTTGTGCTTTCTGTTCTTTCTTGTTTTTCACACCAGAAGTTTATCAATTTTAATAGTACTTTTTCAAAGTATCAAACAACTTTTGATCATTTCTCCCGTGTTGTTTTATGTTTTAATTTTTGCTCTCATCTTCGTTATCTTGTTCATTTAACATTTAAAAATTAGATAGATCATTAGTCAATTTAACAATGAAATTTTGTATGAGGATTTACAAAATACTAAGTGCTTTTTAATTATTCTTGAAAATAAGCTTGTGAGACCCTAGCCAGTTTGGCTTAGTGGATACAGCGTTGGCCTGTAGACTGAAGGGTCCTGGGTTCGATTCCGGTCAAGGGCACGTACCTTGGTTGTCGGTTCCTCGGCCCTTGTCGGAGTGCGTGCAGGAGGCAACCAATCGATGTGTCTCTCTCTCACATTGAGGTTTCTCTCTGTCTCTTCCATTCTCTCTAAAAATCAATGGAAAAATATCCTCACGTGAGAATTAACAAAAATAAACTTGTGAGTTGGGTCTTTCCCCTCATTTTCAGATGGAGAAATTATAGACAGGAAAAGAAATAAGTTCATAATTGCATTCACTGAAGTATTGACCCTAAGGTTTGCATCTGAGTCCAGAGGAACTTCTGCCCTCCTCCAGCTTTCCCCTGCCCACCATACGACCGCTATCTTTTGAGACCTTAAGGGACACTCACCCAAAACAGTCATCGTTAAGATGGTGGAGGCTTGGCTTTCAGCAACCTTACCTGCATTCATCTCCAGCACACCTGCTGCCAAGAAGGACTGGGAGGGAAATGCAAAAAGCATGAGCGGGCAGGCTGCCTAAGCTGGAGAAGCAAGTGTGAGGCAGCCGCACCCCACCCAACACTCGGGTCAATGAATAGAGATGGAGGCCTGTAGGGCTCAGCTATAGGGTTAACCCTCGGACTGACCTGTTGGCAAAGCCACAAACAAGTCCCAGCTTAGAGGGCACAGTCCTCTTAGCATAATTAGGCTTGACCTTATGACGCTCCCTAGATCTTATCTGGGAAGCTAATGGGCTGAGGGAGGTGCAGCAAGTGCTGCCAAAACAAGTGAAACTCACAAGAACATTGTAACTGTGGTGACCACTACCTTGTTTACCTCTGGATATAAAATAAAGGCTCAGCTTGCCTCTGGGTCTCTCTCTGTGGCCTCAGCCAGGCACAGGAAGATCCACCTAGACCCAGCTTATTCTCTTTGTCTGTCATTTCTTCATCCTTCGCCGCCCTCCCTCAGGCTTGCGGAACATTTGGCTGAGCGAGCTCGGCACATGTGGCGCCCGAACAGAGGCCCCCTCTGCTGACCCCTCTCCAGTCTGACAAAGCAAAGCAAGTTTGTTCAGAAACAATGGATTGCTTGCTTACAGGCAAGATACTACTGAGTAACCAGACCAAAAGTTCTTTTTCTCAAATCTTGTCTCAGGTTGTGTCTATGTGTGGGGTGGTCCTTGGAGAATTTACTTGGCTTCCAGATGGGGCTGCTTTTCACTACCTGAGTGTCCAGATGCTAGTCCTGGGATGGAGGCCACCACACCGCCAGGCTTACCTACCACACCCATAGACAAACGCTTCTCATCCCAGGCATACTTCTAAGGCCTCTAATAAACACCCACTTCTCCAACCTTCATTACAACCCACCAGGTCCAACTACTATTATCCTTGTAAGAAACAGGTAAGGACACAGATAAGCATAAAAACAGGTTTAGTTACTTGCGTCAAGTCATCTGCGAGTGAGAGTCTTCATTTGAACCCAGGTGGAGCCGGTGATCTTGGCCAGTACATTTAGTCACCTCTACACAGGGTTCACACCAGCTCCTTCCTGAGCATAACTGATACCATGCATGGCCTGAGACAAACTTTCACAGCTAAACGGGGAATACTCAGGGCGGGGGGAGGGGGTGTGAATTGGGTTAAAGCACTGTGACCTCCTTCTCCGTGTCTCCAGGCTGAGGCCGGGAAAGAGGCATTCCAGCCCAGAGAACTTCCAGCCCAGGGAACCCCCGGGGACAGGTGCAACCAATTCCTCAAGGTCCAGATGCAGGCAGACCTCAGGTTCCCCGTCTGTCCTCAGCTTACCCTCATTTTTAATCCCACGAGGAAAAATTCCCTTGAAGTGCATGACTGGTCCTCAGTACCATTTCATGCCTAGTCTCTATAAACAAACCCAGATTAAAATGATTTTTCAAGCTTTCATTTTCAAATTCACCAGAATAAAGAGTGCATGCCTGTGGAAGGCTTTGCTGTTGATCAAGGTTTCCCTCCTGCTTTCTTTCCCCTCCCTCTTCTCTCCCCTTCTCCTCTTGCTCCTTTAATTTTTAATATTTTTATTATTTTTAATCCTCACCCAAGGATGTTTATTGACTTTAGACAAAAAGGGAGAGAAACATCAATCTATTGCCCTGACCGAGGATCAAACCACAAACTTAAAAAAAAAATTGTATTGATTTTTAGGGAGAGGAAGGAGAAGGAAACATGGACTAGCTGCCTCCTGGACACCCCCCGTCGGGGATCGAGCCCACAACTCAGACATGTGTCCTGACCAGAAGTTGAACCAGCAACCTTTCCATGCGTCGCTGCACAAACTTTTGGTGTACTGGACGATGCTCCAACCCTCAACCCTCCTTTTCGTGCCATAAGAACTGAACTCATCTTATACACTCCTCATACCCCCACATCCATAAGTCATGAGACCCTTAGTAGTCTTGGTAAGTTTTATTTCTAGGAATGTTATCTTTTCACCTAAACTTTCTAATTTAATAGCATAAAATTGTAAAATAACATCAAGCTTTAGAAATTCTGTGAGACCTCAACTACAAGGGATTGAGTGCTTTATTCAGACTGTTGCAACAAGGCCTCAGAGAATGTCTCTACAACCATGAGAATGTGAGGGGTTTTCAGGTTAATAAGCAAAAGTAGCAGCGCCAACTGCAGTTTGGCTGGGCTTTGGTCGGGTAGATATCATCTTACAGAAATGAGTTGTTTCTTTGTGATTTGGCTCATCTTGTTGCATCCTATTCTCAGAATTATTGACTCAAGGAATTTAGGAGTGGGTTATTCTCTCAGTATTAGCGAGCTAGGTCAGTGTATGTCCAAAGGAAAACATTTTACAGCGCTC